TTTAGGAAGGAAGGTAGATGAAAAGTAAACACAGGAAAACTGAAAGTCTGGCAGAAACTACTGGTAAAAACAAGGAACAAATCAACCAATGTTATTCTTGGGAGAAGAGTAAAAATTTGTAACCCAATGCAAGTTTCAATAATACTTGGAATCATATGTACTACTGCTGAGACGTGGCATTAACCTGGATGCAGAATTAGCTGCATGAAACTGGTCCACAATAACAAAAGGAACCCTACTATATTGTACCTGATCGACACAGGAAACGTCCATGCCAACCCAACAGCCTGTGTTCTGATTATGCAGGAAAGAAGCAAAAAGAAAATTAGCTAAGGAGTTGGAATATGGTTTACTCTTTCATGAAGTTCAGTTCTGAAAACATCTTACAAAGGTACTTGATGGTCGTTCCTTGAATTACACCGAATAAATACAAGGCTTGTCTTATTGTTATGACTGTTAGACACAGAAATAATTTCAATTAAATCTCACCAGCCTCAATATTATCTAATTATTATTGAGAATTCATTTCCAGACATTTTCACTGCCGTTATTACTGACATGTTTTGAAGCTGCAGTAAGAGATAATATTTGAATGCATAACTGGCCTTGGAACCATTAATTTAGTAGACTAAGAAAGTCAGAATATCATCTCTTTCTTCCATTTGTAACCATTAAATGTCTGGAACTACCATATTTTGAATGGTATCATTTAAGCAGTTTCCCCCCCCCCCAAATCTGTTAACTAAAGTTACGTGCTGCCTCCCAGTGGAGATATTTCAGAGCGCACAGAGTAAAAAAGAAGGCTTCAGGATGTACAGATTTGGACTTTTGTTCTTTTGTTCTTCTCCATTCTTTCAACAAATATTTATTGCTCACAACCAGAAGGCTGGTGATACAAAGAAAAATTAGATTCCCTGTGCTCAAGAAACAAGATATTGCAGACAACATGAAATATGCATAAATGCTCACTTAGTTGAGAACTTTCTGCCTCAAAATGTCCAAAGGATGTTTTTATGAATGTCATGTTTAAGAGCAAAAACATACCAACTCTTCCACTGTCACTAGAAGATGGAAGTTGTCTAGTAAGGTAATTTCGTTTTGTGGCCATTTACTTTATAGCAAGTTTGCTGGACTTTTATGTAGCTTTGAGATATTTTATTCACATTATTGGCCCCATCGTGCCAGTAAGAGAAAGGTTATAATAGAAAGGTCAAGATACATTTTCATAAATGAGAGAGGAGAGAAAATGACATGGCATGTGTTCTTGTAGGATATGTTTTTCAAGAGTAGGAATGCTTCTAAAAGACAAAACCACACAACCTGTAAA